TAAAAAATAGCATTTATATAGCGCAAATCCCCGCTCAACAGCAGGCTCTATGCGTTTTACACTATATTATTACCCCAGCAGACCATAGAACACCCCGAAACATTCTCAGCTTCCCGGGAATGATAGATAGATAGATAAATAGAGAGAGAGAGAGAGAGAGAGAGAGATGGGGGGAGTGAGGTATTCAACCAGAATGGAAATTTGAGAGGGAGGGATGGAAGGAGGGAGGGAGGAAGGAAGGGAAAAAATAGGTAGGTATAGAGAATTAGGCAGAAAAAAGGGAGCCAGAGAGAGAGAGAGAAAGAGAGAGAGAGAGAGAGAGAGAGAGAGAGAGAGAGAGAGAGAGAGAGAGAGAGAGGGGGGGGGGGAGGGGGGAATATTATGTAAATACATCTATGCTTAACTGCTCACTACAGAAATGCACAAAGTATACCTAGACGCTCTGGATACAGAGAGGCAGCGAGGGTCTGAACATACTAGACTGAAAGCAAGCGAAGAGATGAATAAAATGACAGGGTGCGCACACGAGGATGGCAACGTTTCAAGAAGAGCAGTAAATATGAAAGCAGGGAAATGAATAAGAAGATAGAGAAGGGGAGAGAGAGGGTGAAGGAACGGGGGTTAGTTTTGACGAGTCGGTTTTAACACTCCCAGCCTGCGAGCCTGAACGAGGACGGAGGCTGGTTTTCTGGTGGCCCAAATTGCCGCTCGTTTCCCGCGATAGGTTTCTTTTATGACAGGTTTTAATAGCGGGAGCTGCCGATTAGACGGACCCGCGGGTCTCCATGGGCCCTCGCGGACCCAGTGTGGCCTTTATCTGCAGAGCCAGAGCTGAAAGGATGTGTCAACTCGGCTGGGGATCTCGAGCAATCCACACTCGCACAATTTTTAATTAAAGCCGACACGTTGTTTTCCATCCCAGAAAAAAAAAAGTTTGTGTATACATCCAAGGGTGATTCGTCTTGGATGTTTCAGACTGCTCAGCTTGAAAAGTCTGGCTCTTCGGAAGTAAAGAATGTTTAATATACACTTTGTGTTGCGCCAAAGGGTCATAAAAATATACTGTTCCGAACATAAGGCAAAATTAATATAAAGTTGTTTTTTTTCCTCTCTCAGACGTTAATCGATATGTTCATATTTAGATTTTCGTTAAAAAAAAATAGAAAAAAAATATACGTAAACGCAAATGGTACACACCCAATAGCAGAACATGGTGGTAGATATTATCATAATTAAGTTACCAGAAAAGGTAGCGCTCTCCCTGGGTATTTTGCCCAGTATAGCTTCGATGGTGGTGTTAGTCCATTACATCATAGCACACATTCTTCTTAGACGAGAAACAGACAGACTAGTTAAGATTCTGCTGTGAGATCGATGCTTCTACCAGTTGTTGGCCCACGAAACGATGCAAGTACACAAATGTTATTGAAAAAAACTCTATCTATCTATCTATCTATCTATCTATCTATCTATCTATCTATCTATCTATCTATCTATCTATCTATCTATCTATCTATCTATCTATCTATCTA